TCCTTCCCACCTGCGTATTGGAAAGAGAGACTCACCCTTTTCCTAAGCTCAGCGGCACTTTTTTCCTTCCAAATGTAACTTCGATTTTGTTCCAAAATCAGCTTCCTACTTCTCTTACTCAGGACCCCCCACATTAGGAGTTTCCTAATTCCAATATATTAGCGAATTCTGTTTATATGAATCATGGTGTGCTTTTTGGCTTTGAGACTAAAAGGTTTAAATATCTGTGTGTTTTTTTTTTTTTTTTTTTCAGAAAAATGACGGATATCAGCCCTTAGAAAAATCAGCTCACTTCGAGAACCTCCGTGGCATTATTGCCTCCTTTAATATTGCTGACAGTCTCTTGCAAATGTATCACAAGTTGGCATTTATTAGTGCGAGGCACAAGTAAGGGGCATGTTATTTGATTTGAATAACAGCTCGGAGCTACAGTTTGAGTCCAGAAATATATTAGTCAGAAACAATCTCATTTAATAACACAGAAACTAATAAAAGAAAAGTATTCCAACTGATTCAGAATTGAATTTATGAATATTGCTTTAGCAGGATTAATGATCAAAACCTCAACCTGTTTGTCACGTTATAACTGACTTTTCCATTTAAATGCAAAACCAGAAGTCAATGAGTCCAAAGGATTGTATATTGCTTTGAAGAAAACCAGTTCATTTTACATGTAAGCTTCCAAATTGGCAATAAACTTTAATTACAGGGTCAGATAATCAAATTATAATCAAATAGCCTCCCATAAAAATCTATGTTTGAAATTAATGAGATACAAGGCGGACGCTTGGTATCTCTGCACCCCTGTAACTTACTAACAGACATTTCATTTTCAGTTAAAAGTCACCTTAAGGACTTTCTCCTCAATTTCCACTATGTAGCTTAATTTGATTTAGAAAACATTTCATTCTTAGACCACACAGCCCTTTGGATTTTCATACTCCATTCTTAGACCATACAGCCCTTCGGATTTTCATACTCCTCTCTGCATTCTCCCTCCTCTCAACGCAGGGTAGGGGCAGGGGTGGGGGTCTGTTTTACAAATGACGGTGGGATTTCCAGATTGGCCCTGTGTCAGTGCCACGTACGTATCCATCCGTGCCTGGGAGGAGCCTTCAACCTGGTGTCAGGTGTCATCAGACAGAGGCACGTCCACACCGTGGGGCTGAGTGGCCAGGGTATTTTGCCAGGGGGGACAAATGTGTACAGCTTAAAATTACTGAAATTATTTTGAAATCAACAAATACATCGGCCAGTGAACAGCCTTAATGCACAGATGGTCCTTGACTTGTGATGGTTCCACCGAGGATTTTCCGACTCTAAGGTTTTGCAAAAACCTTATGCGTTCAGTAGAGCCTGGACTTGGAATTTTTAATTTGGGTCCTTTCCCAGGGCTGGCGGTATGTGGTAGGATCCTCTCTCGCGATGGCGGCAGTCCCGCCACCATGAGGGCAAACAACCGCTATGCTTTCAGCCCCTCTGTTCCCCTACAACCATTATATAGAACACCTTATGGGAAAATAGGCTTTGTGTGAGATGATTTTGCCCAACTGTGGGCTAACGTGGGTGTTCTGAGCACGACTAAGGTGGGCTGGGCTGAGCTGTGATGCTCTGTAGACTGGGTGTATCACATGCATGTTCAACTTACGGTATTTTCAACTTACTGTGGGTTTATCAGTGTGAGTTGGAAAGATCCGTACCCGCTCCAGGTACAAGAAGAATGCTAAGTTGTTTAATACAGAGTTACAATCTTTGCATTTTATCTTTAAAAGCAGTTTCTTTGTCTTCTTCAGTGACAGTAGCTCTTTCTTTTCTTCCTTTTTCTTCTTCCTTCCTTTCGCTCTTCCTCCCTCCTTCCCCCTTTCTCTCTTTCTTTTTCTTTTTTTCTCTCTCCCTTCCTCCCTCTCCTTCCTTCCTTTCTTTTCTCTTTCTCCTTCTCTCCCTTTTTTCTTTCTTTCTTTCTTTCTTTCTTTCTTTCTTTCTTTCTTTCTTTCTT